AGATGTGTATACTTTTCCAAAGCAGCACTGATTCATTCATTGTGTACATTACACCTTTTTACCATCGTTTTGGCCTATGGTGTTAGTTGATGTGGCGTATCTAGCAGCATTGACAATGAAAGCTGATGAGAGAGGGCTGCAAATGTTGAGGGGGATTGACGATTAAGTGAGGGAGAGCTAGGCAGAAAAATAGGTGATATGAGTTGATTATTAACTACTTGTGTGTATTTTATTTTCCAGTGAAGTAGAGTTCAAGATTGGGTACAAGTTGTTTGGGGGTGCCTGCATGTGCATCTCTCCACCCTTCCTGTTAAATTAAGAAAAACCAACATTTACTAATACTTTTGTATTCAAAAATAAAAAGAAAAGTGCCAAACAAATAGCTTATATGATTTATTCCGCATTGCTATGCAAATTTCTATTTGACGAAGAAGTTATAAAACATTGCTTTACAAGTCTAGTAACTTATTGTGTAAAAATGCCAAAATTATAAATAGGGCCTAAACCTTGATATATTTCTGCTGATATAACAAATTAATAGGCTTATTTATTGGAAATTTGAAACTACAAATGCTGATTACAAATAGCAGACATAAAATCAAGCACCAAGAGAATGCTACAGAAAAAAAGGAAATAAAGATATGCTATGAAGTGATACATGTATTTTGTAATGTAATGATTCTTTTTAAACATTAGTCTGTTAGACCATAACAATTCACTATAGGTGACTGCTGCAGGCTCAGCAGAGCGTTTTCACACATCCTGCGATAGGCTGGGATATAGAATGTAATCTCATTCAAGCTACAACCACAGAACGAGTCAAAGTGGGATCCACTGGCCTGAGATCCCCTTTTAAATTTTCAGTCTGAGAGTGCCATTTCTGGCCATAGTGGTGCCATAAACATAACATTTTAAATCTCAGCTCCAAGCATGTTGGGGCTGAGGTAGTCTAGTAATCCATCTGAAAAATTGACTTTTTGGACCCATTCAAAATCCAGGATCCACCACTGACAACTTCTGGCCGTATGTACAGTAGTACCATATTATTCATTTATTTAGTTTCAAGAATATTCTGTGATGGTGGCCCATATAGCTGGAACTGTTCAATTGAAACTCTCAATACAAAACAATAATACATGTTAAAAACTAAACCAAAAATAAATAGGCCTATTAATTTGCTGCAGAACTATAATATGCACTTTGACTGAAAAACTTAAAATTTAGTTTATAACTATTCTTTATAATTACCGATGTATGGTATTGCATTTAAAATTAAGATGGTGCAGAACACAGGAGTGTGCCAAATGTGCATCCAATTAATTAATTGGTGTATAGAAACTATTAATTGACTTAACAAAATAATTGAAAAAGCTGATGAATTGTATTTCAACTTTGACCCAAATGTGGTAGGCCCACTCCACCTTTGCATATACACTATATTACTCAAAGCAATGAAGACTTTCAAATATAACTTTCTATAACCTAATGGAATCAGATATTTTAACTTAATATAAAAAAAATTAATGGTTAGAACAATTATTATTTGATACAAAATTGTGATTTACAATTGCTTCTTTCCCATAAACTCCAAATTCTAATCATCAATGCTTTACTCTTTAAATATATATAATTTTTGATGTACAATTCATTATTACCAAAAATGTTACATTTCGTGGTTTATCAGAAATCTTTATTATTATTACTCTTCACATTATTGTAACAGATTTTCATCCTCTGTTAAAATTACTCACAAACAAAAACATCTCTACACCTGTAATAAAAGCATGTGCACTGAATCAATTTTTCAAATCATGATTCAGTAATTATTTGATGGAGAAGCTAAGCATTGATGACAAAATTTGTAAGTTTCTTTTAGAATGTGGAATATTATCTCACTACATTCCAAATCTCACATATAAGTTGTGAGTTCTCACCACAAAGTCACATGGTTAGAAAACTGCATATTTGGATATATCACACTATGAGCTTTAATTCAAACTTTGAATGGGTTTCCTAGGATAAATGAACTGAAGTTTAAATACAGTATATGGTAACTTGGGTTTGAGAAAATTAATCTTAAATAACTTGCAGGGGCGGATTAAGGGAGGGGAAACGTCCCCCGGTTTTGCCACCTTTTGACTAATATAAATTGTAACAGCATATACTGAACAATCTTTTTAAGTACCTACAATGAATTGGTGCCTCCTCTGGATCCATCCCAAACCTGTACATATTTTAGTGATAATCTCAATATGATCTTACCAACGATGCATCTCATTTTGTGGTGCGACATCACAACTATTCTTTTTTCTTTATGTACATTGCTGTACTTTAAACAAGATTAAAGAAAAGTTACATATTGTTGTCTAAAAATATACTCAATAAATGTTAAGAAAATATGAACAGGTAATTGTAGCTTTGCTCCTAATAGGTAAACAACATTAATCAATAAAATACAAATGCTTTGATTTCATGGTGAAAGCTAATTACTTCTTAAAAAATAAAATAAATTTTAGTCATTTAATCTAATATTTCTATTTTATATGTTTGTCAATGAGCAGCACTATGTCACAATTCTAACCATTAATAACTCATTTGATTGGCTAGCAAATGTAGATGGATACCTATATGTTAGCAATCACTTCTTAAAGTTAATTGTAACCCAAAATTTCCTCATAGGATCATTACAAATCATTACTATAAATCTAAGTATTCAATTTTTAATCCTCTAATAATATTGACATATTTAGACCACCCTGATCTGTAACAAAAGAATTTGTTCATTTTGGTGCTGTGAAAACATGGCCTACAGAAATTAAAATTTCTATGAAAATAATTGTAATATATAATGAATTCTTATAATGTTCTCTAAATTAATTAAAAATACTTCAGGTATTTTTCCACTTTGCAAAAATATCAAATTATCCTCATTTTTATTCTTTGGTTTTCTCAACCTTTTAAATGAGGCTTTTGCTTTTAGTGTAAATGTTGAGTCAGTCATTCAAACACTCAGAAAATAGCTGCATCAACAGCTAGATGGGATAAACACAGACCAAAAATGAATTTCAATGTCTCAGCAAACACAAACATTATTTTAGAAATTCACTAGTTTTTTTCTTTTTTTTTTGGTGTTTGGTCCCAAATTGCATAACCATCTACAGAAATATTATGCATTTGTAACAAAAATTATTACTCTAAACATTTTCAGTACTGCTATGGATACCATCACATAAACAAATTGACTATTAGAAATGAAGCCTTCTATATTTTTAGATTTTTGTCTGATTTCTGCTCAATGTTGAAAAAAAAAACATCATATATTGGATACATTTATCAAAGTAAATTTGTTGAAATCATATACAAATGTAAATTTCAACAGAATAGATCATTAGTCTATAATCGACCTTTCCGCAATGTCAATCAAATTTAACTACTGACCAAATAAGGACAGGGCGAGGAATACATGCGTGTACCACAAAACACATGTCTTGTCCCACAAATGCACATGTTTGTGGGACCGTAGCAACAATATCCAAGGGGCGGGGCTTAGCGAAATGTCTATTGTTGAATGTTCTGTTGAAATTGACTGATCCTCTTCTCAGTGCAATCAAGAAACAGTCAACCATCTTGGAGGACACACCAGTCAACCATTTTGGAAGACACTCAATCTAAAGTAACAATATTTGTTTCCTCCTATTTATGTATATCATAATCAAATTATGTTTTAACAGTGCAAAAAAGTCCAATAGTAGACTAGCAAGAAAATCGTTGGGAAAATTGGCTTAGAAATCACAAATCAACATTATTAACTCTCCTTATCCACAAAATACATTGCATCACAAAAAGAATTGCTTGATTATAAAGAAAAAGTAAAGGATAGTTTAACTGGCAAAAGCACCAACATATTGTGAGAAAAAAACAATCATCAACTAAGCATTTTAGGAAGAAACACTCTAACTTTAGTAGTGTAAACCATCAAAAAGGTTTACAATTATCATCTATCCCTTAAAAATGTGTCAAATGTATGGAAAAAACTTGGTATCTAAATTCTATTTACATTTAATCTACTAATTGTATGAGCTATTTGGTACCATTCAGGACTTTTACTCAAACACAATCTGGCAGTCGACACTGGCTCAATTTGGAGAGAGCAGACATATAAAGTTGTCCCTCTTCTCTGTTTTATATACAACAATTTCACCTGTCCTCTCTTTCCTTCACAAACTTCAGATTTGATCTTGTAATTAAAAAAAAAAAACCAACCCCCCTCCCACCCCTTACACCCCAATTATAATACCAATTAAGAAGGAATGATTACAATTTCAATTACATGATAAGGCATCCAATCAGTGCAATCATAGTCATGTGACCAATGGAAAACATGTTGATTGGTGATGACCTTTGCAACTGATGATGTCATCATCTTCTCATCACTTGCTTAATTCCTGTCTGATAACTGAAAGGAGAAAGAGAAAATGTTAATAAATTATTAGTAAAACATTCCTGCCATTATATTGTTAAAATGTTAATTGATTTAAAAAAATTTTTAGTCAAAAGTAATCAATGTTTATATTCAATAACATTGTATAAATATCACAAGTGTTCCAAGTGTTTTTTTACCTTTTTTAGTTAACTTTTTTTTTAATCTTTAGAGAAGGGCATAAAAAATAAAAATACAATTTTTTTTTCTTAGCAAAATGGTCTTGTCAAAAACACAATTCTTATCACTAAAAATTAAAATAAAAATTCACAATAGTTTTCTTACTGTGAACTTACTTAAATTAAGTGTGAACTAAAAAGACAATACATTATTTAATTACCAAAATTCATATCCATTGAAAATATTTAGTTGAATACAGTAAATACAATTGTGCTTTGTTCTTAAATACCTTCAAGAATTTCTTCCTTCACTTTCTGTATTTCCTTCTTCATCTCAGCAACGATCTCAGTTTTTAACTTTTCAAGATCTCCATTCAATCCATTCGACAGACCACTTGAGGCGCCTATTGACCCCTTTCGTCTGATATATATTAGAATATTGAAAACAATTATAAATGTTAGTTTATATCAAATTTTCATGGCAGCACATCACAAACTTACACAATGAAAGTAGATTGTGTTAGATCGTGAAAACAGAAAATTGCATTAAAATATGTGCTGTTGTTGTTACAGAATACAGAATTCTGTGGTAAAGAATACAGAATTGCTTGACAACCAATACGCGATTATTTTGACGCGCCTTTTTGGTTACCCTTGATGTGAGCGACAAATGTAATAGATAATGAAAATTAATATTTACTCAAACAAAAATACTTGCATTATTTACAAATAATTTAAGTTCAGGGATACAATAAGATTAAAGAATTTGCGTTCACATTTATACAAATATAAAGATACAGATAAAGATTAATTTATTATCCAAGATATGGAAATTAAGTTGCTCTCTTGCGCAGATGCTCTTAATCAATAAATAATAAACAATAATAATAATTATCCCAGTTGGGTAGAGCAAGTACTTGTAACGGTCTGTATACACATTCTTTCTAGTATCTTTGATGTTAGTTTATATCAAATTTTCATGGCAGCACATCACAAACTTACACAATGAAAGTAGGTTGTGTTAGATCGTGAAAACAGAAAATTGCATTAAAATATGTGCTGTTGTTGTTACAGAATACAGAATTCTGTGGTAAAGAATACAGAATTGCTTGACAACCAATACGCACTTATTTTGACGCGCCTTTTTGGTGACCCTTGATGTGAGCGACAAATGTAATAGATAATGAAAATTAATATTTACTAAAACAAAAATACTTGCATTATTTACAAATAATTTAAGTTCAGGGATACAATAAGATTAAAGAATTTGCGTTCACATTTATACAAATATAAAGATACAGATAAAGATTAATTTATTATCCAAGATATGGAAATTAAGTTGCTCTCTTGCACAGATGCTCTTAATCAATAAATAATAAACAATAATAATAATTATCCCAGTTGGGTAGAGCAAGTACTTGTAACGGTCTGTATACACATTCACTGTCCTCACGCTACCATTTCTAATTATTCAGAAGCCAATACAGTCATACACATCAACAAATCAGAAACTTGATGTTTAATTTTGGTTCAATTATTAATGAAAGGAAAACAACACTTATGTAAAAAAGCCATATATTTCTCTGTCATCCAAATTTGTTATTGAAATACATTATGGTGTCAAAACTAAACAGTTCATTTTGTTTATAGGATATAGTAGAACAAACATTAAGATTTTGGTTATCATATGTGTACAACTTTGAATGCACATGGCTACAGTCCATTGGATATTAAATAATAAATAAAAATAAAAAAACGAATGCTGTTTTATAGCAATCTGTCTTAAACAATTCCTTGCAGTCTACTATAGAATCTAGAATCTGACAAGAAAAAATTGAAAATGATTATTTACTTTTAGCTATATTTTTTATATATATGCTGAAGTTTCTCTGCTATAAGCCCACCTCAAAGAAATCCTCTTTTACAAAAAAAACAAAAACCAAAAAAAAACAAACCAACTAGAGATACCATGTTCAATAAACATGAACCCAGTCATTTTTTGGGATTTTAACTCTAAAGACCCCAATATAATCTTTGATTCTCAGCTGTGAACGCCCTGTGGATGGGAAATAGGCACTGGTTATGCTGACCAAGTTTTAATGCAGTCGGTTCAATCATTTGTCACTAGCAATATATTGATAATTTTGACCCCAATGAACCCTGTGACTTTTGACCTGTGACTTAATTGACATTAGGATATTAAAACATATGTACAATGTCCTAAGTATCATCCATAATAAATTTGAGCAACATCAAAAAATACGGAAAGGACTGACATTTGACCTATGAACTTTGACCTATAGGATGAAGAGTATTTTTTTCATGTTTAGAAGGTCCTAAGGATCATCCCTGGTAAATTTGAGCTCAATTAGGCCAAAAAAAAAAATATACTTGTTTAGCGTCACCACCCGACCCTGATTTTATAGCCGCCTCTCATTAAAAAAAAATTTTTTTTTTGTAAAGAAGTGATGAAAATCGACTAAAAAATGCCGATAATAGAGGAAAAACGATCGTTTTTTTTCATCTTCAGCACAGGGAACAAGATGTGAAGTGCGCCACCAACATTACAAGTGTGTTTTTTCCTGCAGAAAAAAAAATTGATTCCCTCACATGTCTTGTTGACAGAAATCGCGGACAATTTGATCGGTAGTATAGTAGGCGTACATGTTATTATTTGGTTCTTTTTAGATAATAAACAATGTTTTAAATATGATAATAATAAAGTACCTGTACTAGGAAGACAAATACCGTAAAGCCATAAATTTTCGCGTGCCCTTAATTTTCGCGAATTTCGTGAACAACGATCGCGAAAATTAAGGGCGCACGAAAATCTCAAAAATTATATTTTGTCAAAAACGATTGTAAAACGTGATTTCCATAATAAAGATGTGCTACATATATCAGGGATCACATTATGCAGGGCGGAGCCTCCCAGTCTATGACGTCTTGCGCCCATCCTAAAGCTATTTTTAAGGCCTTCCGCCCAGCCTCAGACAAACCCTCCAGCCCAACCTTAAAATTATGAAAAAACACAAGTTTTTGCTCAATAACCTGTATATTCCGGTGGTATAAGCCGCAAATTTTATACGCGATTTCCCCCCGAAGTTTGAGGTGCGGCCTATACACCGGTCGTTAACCTACTCCCAAAAAGTTCAGATCGCCAGTCGCAGCGAAAATCATGCGTTGTCTCTCTAGCTTGGGCCCATGCTAGCCCAATTAATTAGCCTAGGAACTTGCTGTTTGACGTCTGGTTCCCGGTGGCTTGTACCGTTATAGAAAGAATAATGGTACTGCTATAATTTCAGAGTAAAAGCTTGTAAAATTAATTTATGTTATAAAAACACGAGTTTTCTTGAAGTTGTAATAATTATTTTACTGGAAATTAATTGAAGAAAGGCATACGTCATCTGTTTTTTGTTTATAAACGTAGTGCGTGATGGTGCATGCTTCGCACAGTGGGCTGTGAGTATTAATGACTTAGGCCTAGAATTACCAATATTTTCAGCCTAATACTGACTGTTATTAGTCACTAAAATAATAGAATGATTGCTTAAAATAGCTAAATATACTCAATAAGTATTATATTTTATTAGATTTTATTTAACTTAAACTAAATTGATGTTTAAAGTTTTACGTAGTGCGACCGTCTAGCAAGAAATGGGGATTTCCCTAGAGCTGACCAGCGGAAAAATACATTATTTCATTGTGGTAGCCAGAAGAAGCTGGCTAGTCGAATGTGCAAGTTACAGGTATCATGTAGATAGCCTAGGCCTAGCCTAAAAACAAGTAGATTAAATCGCGAAAATAAAAGGACGCGAAATGTTTCAAATCGTGAAAATTTAGGGCTTTACAGTAACCTACGCTTCACTTGGCAGATGTTTTAGGTCTAGGCCTGTAGTGGCTAGGCCTACCTGGCCTAGCCTAGCACTGCAGAAGTTAGCCTACAGAACCACAATGCCTATTAAAATAAATATTGTACAAACAAATCTTTTATGTAAAATTTAGTGTCTGTTATGGGCTTTGTTTGTCAAAGATTTGGCTTGGCACCAATGCAGTTTTTGAAATCTCTAGGCCTAAGAAGCCTACACACTGTCAAGGCGTCAGGCCAGCAAAAAAACAAAAAAAAACAAAAAAAAAACAAACCTTTGACATATGAACTTCGACCTATGGGGTGAAGAGTATTTTTTTCATGTTTAAGAGGTCCTAAGGATCATTCCTGGTAAATTTTAGCTTAATTGGGCTATTTTGAAAATTTAACCCTTATTGACCCCTGGGGTGTAGGAGGTGTCACAGGTTCTTAATGACCAAATTTGATTGAATTTGGTCCAATTGCTAGCCATTAGTGGCATTTTGAAATGTTACAAAATAACCCTTAAATGACCTTTGACCCTACTTCTATTAACACCATAACAACACTAACTTATGTCAATACATATGTGCCCAGGACAAGACTGTGCTATGTTACTTGTGACAGAAGTCTATTCATATTTTTGGGATTTTTTACCCTAATGACACCTATGTGACCTTTGACCCCAAGCTGTGAACACCCCATATATGAGAGGTGTAACCGTTTATACTGACCAGGTTTGGTTGAAATCGGCACAACCATTTGGCACTAGTAACGTTTTGAAATGTTACCAGAAAAAAAGATAAAAATAACCCCTTAATAACCTTTGACCACAAATCCCTGAACACCCTATAGACTCTGCCTTATGCCAATGCATATGTGCAAGGGACAAGATTGTGCTGTTATTTGTGAGAGAAGTAGTCTTTTGGTTTTTTTTACCCTGACTTCTATGTGACCTTTGACCCCAAGTTACGAACGCCCCAAAAAATGGGTGGTGGCACCGGTCCTACTGACCAAGTTTCAATAAAATCGGACCAGTAGTTTGCCACTACAGTAGTAGCCTTTTAAAATGTTGCCGGAAAGAAAGAAAGAAGAAACTGCTCATAAACAGAACCCCGTCAGCCTGCTGCTGACTGCATGTCTTACAATTTGTAGGAATGACAAATCAAAAAGAGATTTTTCTACACTGTATGTATAATTAATAAAGCCAGATTTGTTTTCCTGATAGTATTCACCACAGTTTAAGTTACTCCTTCAAATGATACACTGGGCTTTTACTACCTAGGGAAACTCTGGTAAAAGTCAGGGTGTAAAAAGTAGAAGGCATGTTTATACATAAAGGGGGCTTACTCATGAGAGACTACTGTCAAGTACTTACCCAATTTTTGGTGAAGATGATGGTGGTGTGTTAGGAGAATCATTTTTTGTTCCAAACTTGTTGCTCTTCTCCCATGGTTTCTTGGCTTCTGCATATAAAAAAGTTAATGGAAAACTTAGGTTGAGAGACAACATGCTTTAATATATAGCTCACATATCCACTTTTAAAAATGCTCAAGTCACTTGAGGTGAAGTCAGTCACTTTAACTTTTAGAAAAAGATCCCAAAACCTAACCCATGAAATAGCATAAGATAAGGAATGGCAGAGGAAACCAGCTTCACTAATATGTTTACCAACATTCTGAAATTTACAAAAAAGTGGGCTTGATATTTCATGTTACTTTGGACGAATACATTTACAGTGATTATTCTCCCTCTACAAATGCCATAGCTGGGGGCTTCTAGTGGAGGATTCTTGTGCATGTAGCAGATAGACATGACAAGCACAAAGGTGACCCAAGGAGGTCAACATCAATGGCGGCACCAATAAAGACTGCCCTTTCTTAATTGGATATGTCTATAAAATTTGCGAGGAAGAACTATGGTTTTAAATGGTTGTAGTTTCCAAAGGCTAGAAAAATATAAAATATATTCTCAAACAATTATTGTGCGCTACAGCTAAGGAGGCTAAATTTAGCATTGCTAGGCTTAGCCGTGCTTACCATACCTGTTCTCACAGTCTTCTCAGCAGTCACGGGAGGTGCTGCAGCCGCCGCAGCCGGTGTTCCACTCTACAATATAAATAATAATTATTATAAGGTGATCAAAACAGTCCTGTCTTGAGTACGTTGTGGATAGTGCCAGAAGCTAATGTGTAAGCAACGTTAATTAATTACAAATTACATTATGTTTTGAACACCAAGCTGTAACATTACTACAACATAAATTTATTAGCTTGGAATTAAGTTTACAACATACAAGTATATATATAAAACAAGTATATACATACAAGTATATATATATATACACACAATAGAACCCCTCATTTACGTACGGTACGGGCCCAGAGCCGTTCGTATTCATAAAATCGGGGTTGACCCAAATTCCTATATATTTGCACTGGTACTACTTACACTGGCATAAACTAGGCTAGGCCTACAGGCCTACGCAGCTAGGTCTGAGGGGTCCTGGGCCTACAGTAGGCAGCTTCTAAGCATTCTGATTCCACTCTAGGCCCTACACAAATTTGTTTTTATCGGACGTTTTTACCTTCTTGAATACCTAGATTGTGGATTTTACTCCAACACAACTTCCATAGATACTTGTTTATTATATATATTGATTTGATCATTCAATAAAACAATCAAGCACTATGTTGAATTTTAAAGCTGAAAACGATGTTTGAAAAAAGAGAAGTAAAATTTGTCGCATGCACATGTGTGAAGCCATAAAAAAACACTGACTTTGGAGAGGCCCGTAAGAAGGCCTCCTTCACTGAGAATTACATAGTACTGTATAGTATGGTGTGTTGTGTTGTATGCCTGCTAATAAACGGATGTCAGTCAATTCGAGCGGATGTCAATTTGAGCAGATGCCAGTTCGAGCGGATGCATTTAGTGCAAACTATAACAAGGGCGAATTTATCGTCGCCGTATTCTTTATTTGTTTGTTTTAAATGCAAAAAATGCTCTGATTACTAAGGTCCTGAAAGGTTTTTAGTACTTTTTGATAATTACTCCATGTTTGAATTACAGTCTTGGCAACTTCGACTACCAAGATGGCAGCAAACAAGTCAAAACTATAATAGAATTATGCACTTTTTAACTTAAAAAAGAAGAAAGTGTATGTTTTACTAGAGTGCACGAGAAGCACACACACAAGACGAGTGACCATTATTTTTTTCACGGTAAACAAAGTGGGGTGGCTAGCCACCCTATTCACCACCCCCCCCTTCCCCAGATCCGCCACTGGTTAGGGTTCTCTATTTAAAAAAGCAAATTATATTTGTAATTGAGTTATGCTACTCACTTATCTATTCTGGAACTGTTGTGTGCCCCTTCCCCTTTGAAAATGTCAAATTTTTAGCTCAAATTATATTTGTAATTGAGTTATGCTACTCACTTATCTATTCTGGAACTGTTGTGTGCCCCCTTCCCCTTTGAAAATGTCAAATTTTTAGCTCAAATTATATTTGTAATTGAGTTATGCTA